AGCTCCCCTTCTTTTCCTGAGCAGGGAAGGGAGAGGGGGACAGAAAGTTCTGATACCTATCCCCTGGGAATTGATTGAGCGGTGGGCTAGCCATCAGGGAAGAGGCTGGGGAATGTGCTGTGGAGAGTCTTAGGTGGGGACAGCTGAAGAGATGGCTGGAAAAGGTACCTACCATTCAATTGTCAGGAGGGCTACCGAGGCTCAAGCGCAGAGTGAAGGCAAGGTGGTGCAGTCTTAGAAGCTTGGGCTCAGGTGGCAGATGACCAAGGTTGGAACACTTCCTCAGCTGCTTATCAGCTGTGTGATTGTGGGCAAGCCAGTAACTATTCCCAGCCTCAGTTTCCTCCTTTGTGTACGTGGAAATCACAACACCTCCTTTCTTTGGTTAAAGGAGCCAATTCACGTAGCATGCTTAGCACAGTGCTTGGATCATAGTAGACTCCATAAATTTTCGCAGCTTCAAAAAGGAAAAACAAACAAAAGACTCCACTGTTTATGGGATTGGAGATTCTGAAGAGCTGCATCAGCAGATCCCAGTGATTACAGGGAAAGGGAGTGATGGGCAGTAAGTGGGAGGCAGGACAGGAGGATGGTGCTGGGATGGGGGAGTAGGAGATGCCAGTCTTCAAAGTAGATTAGCCTGGCTGTGGGCCCCCAGGAGAACAGGGTGGGAATTTCCAAGGACCGCTTGTACTCACCAGGGAGTGGGAGGGGCACCTAGAGGTGAGGGAAGTGTGTCTGCATGAGGGTTTTGGCTGAGCTGGAGCAGTGAGAGGCTGAATGGGCAGCAGACTTCCAGAAGTGCAGACGGAGGAGACAGAGCAGTAATAATGACTTGGACACGTGGGAGGAAAAAACAGGTCAGGGACGAAGATGATGCCAAGGTTTCTGGCTTTGGGAGGCTCATGGGGATCTGAGGTGAGCGTTGAGGGATGAAGAGGAGAGATCCTAAAGGAACTGGGGAGGTAGTGGGGTGAGGAAGGGAGCCGGGAACTACAGAACTGGGTAGATAATGAGGCAAGGGGAGGGAAGTGTGGAGCTGAGGCTTTCCCATAGCTGTGAAGGAGCAGTGTCTCAGGGAGACAGCTGAGCATCCTGGGAATTGAGATGGCATTCATCCCAAAATGCAAGGTGCAGAATTCAAGGAGATCCTTAGGGCCAGCCTTAAAGGCAGCAAAAACATGAACTTGGACCAGTAACTCCCACCAGGAACTCAGTTTTTCTCTTTGAAAATGGGTCTAATGATACCAGCCCTCCCTACTTGATGGGATTACCCTGTCATTCATTCAGTTAGCCATCCATTGAACACGTATTTCTTTTCTTTCTTTCTTTCTTTCTTTTTAAAAAATATTTATTTATTTATTGGCTGTGCCAGGTCTTAGTTGTGGCACTCGGGATCTTTTTTGCTGCGTGAGGGATCTTTGTTGCAGCATGCGGGATCTTTTTTTTTTTTTTTTTTAGTTGTGGCATGCGGGCTCTTAGTTGCTGCATGTGGGATCTAGTTCCCTGACCAGGGATTGAACCTGGGGCCCCTGCACTGGGAGCACAGAGCCTTCCACGAGGGAAGTCCCTAACCTCTTCTTATATTTAATAATGAATAAGAACATGCAATTAAAAATGGCCATATTCTTTTCCTAGTTTAGTGTATTTGCTTATTTTTGCCGCTTGGGGGTTTTTTTTTTTTTTTTTTTTAGTTGCAGCATGTGGAATCTTTAGTTGTGGCATGAGAACTCTTAGTTGCAGCATGCAAACTCTTAGTTGTGGCACGTGGGATCTAGTTTCCTGACCAGGAATGGAACCCGGGCCCCCTGCATGTGGAGCGTGGAGTCTTAGCCACCGGACCACCAGGGAAGTCCCTGAACACATATTTCTTGGCTGTCTATTAGAGGCAAGCACTGTTCTAGGTTTTGGGGAAACGGGTTAGCCAGGCAGGCAAGATACCTACTCCTTTAGAGCTATCATTGTGGCTTGGGAAGTCAGACAATAATTTTACAGGTTGTTGAACAGGATTTTTCCTGTGGGCTTTGAATTTCTGCTGAAGATGCAAAGGCGAGAACGATAAGGACTAAATATTCTCACATGCCAAAGAGAAGTACTGGGCATCTTACTAAAGGCAGGACCAGTTCAGCAACTGTCAAGAGACATCCCTGGATTCCAGCCTACGAATAAAAAGGGACTGAAGAAAGTCATTGAGTCAGAGAACAGCTGCATTAGTAAGCAGGGCTGAGATTTCCCCTGAGGGTACTCTCCAAGCAAACCAAGTGAACAGGGCCCTAAGAAAACCAGTCATAGAGACTGGGGGCCTCCAAAGAAGAGGGAACTAGCATGACTCCCCATAACTCTGCCTCCACTGGTGCTAGCTGAGGTGCTAAAAGCTGCAAGCACCCCAATGCACCAAAGCACAGCAAGAAAGTTCCTGGGAGAACCCAACCTATGTCTTTAGGAATTGGGGATGTACATAAATGAAGAGGCTTGTGTGCATTTTCTGTCTGGAGAAATCTGACCACGGAGACTGGCTGGAGTGGCCCTTATAGCAGGAAGAGATGCAGCCAGCTCACCACTGGTTTGCTGGCATGGACAGGAAAGTCCCATGGGGAGTAGGGGACACAGGGAAATTGTCCAGAGAGTGCCTTGCTATGGTAGTGCAGGGTGGAGATCATGCAGAGAGCTTCCCAAGAACCCACAGATGTGCCCATGAAAGAGCCAGAGCTTGGCACCTGTCAGCCAAGGGCACCTGTCACACAGGGCTTAACCATTTTCCCCCTAACACCTCTCCCCCAACCCTGATGTGGAGGAGCCACAGCAGAAAAGGAAGGTCAGAAAATCAGACCACACCCCACTCTCCCTAGTACATGATCTTGAGCCAGGGGACAGGCCTGTGGAGGGAGAGGAGGGGTATTAAATTGGATACGAGGTTGATTAAACTGGATGAGGTTTTGATTTGGACAGAACCAGACTTTTTAGTGCCTGGAAATTGGTCTTAATTACAGAAACGAAACTGTTCTTGTGACTAACGGCGATGGGCAAGCCAAGGACTCTGCTTGAGATGCCATTAAGGGTGGAGAAGAGAAATTCACCATAATATGGTTGAAGGCAGTGAGAGGAGAAAAATAGAGCTGTTTCCTGATTGTTCCTCTTCAGACTCAGCCCATTCAATAAATCAGTTAAACAGGTAAACAAACAATTTCAACTACTCTAGAGCAATGAAGGTGAAACAGGGTGAGGTATTAGAAAGTGATGACCTGGGAGTGGGAAGACTGCTCTAGGTTGGGGGGTCAGGGATGGCCTCTCCAGGGGGTGATGTTTGAGCTGAGAGGTGAAGTGATGAGCGTGTCCTGTAAAACATCCTGGAGATGAGTGTTTCAGGGAGAGGGAAGTGGGCATTAACTTAGCCTGTTCAAGGAGTAGAGAGGGGGCCAATGCAGCTGCAGTGTGGTGAGTGCCCCAGCAAGAGGTGAGATAGATCAGAGAGGGGGCCAGTCCTGCAGGGCTTTGGAGGCCAAGGTCGGGAGTTGCGGCTGTTTTTCAACATTAGACTGGGTCTGTCCTTTGTGTGGTGTGGGTCCTTATAAACTGGTGCCTTCCTGCCTGCTCGGTCCCTCTGCCTCTCCAGGAAGCAGTAGGCTGCAGAAATGCAGGGGCGGGGTGGGGTGCTTGGGGGAGGCAGCCATGGTTGCCAGGTCTTTAGACTTTAGGGCAGGGGACCATGGTGTGAGTGATGAGCTGACTGTTGGGTGGCCGTTGGCATTCTAGCGCCCCCGCCCTCTCCCTGCCAACACAGGAAGATGTGAGCACACTCACTGCATCGATCAGAAGCTCACTGAATCCCGAGGGAGTGAGAGGCTGGATGGGAATCTAGGAAATGGATCTGAGCCGCAGGCTGGAGGACTGGATTTCATTCACTTCTTGGACACACGCTGTCTCCTTGAGTGACCTTATTCCAGATCCTCCACGTTTATTCCCCTGTGGAGAAGACACCTCTTGTAGGATCCGCCGCCATCAATGCGTCAGGCCTAGGCTCGATCCTGACGCAGCAGGAAGGGGATTAAGATCAAGGAGCTAAGGCGGCTGGCAGCGACAGGTCTCTGCCGGCCGCAGGATAGCCAAGGACGCGGCCTAGTCCACTAGAGGGCGCGCGCCCCCCAGGGGACCTTCCAGCGCTCCCGCGTCCCACGGCGGCGGAGGCAGGCGAACTGCCCCGTGCTGTCCCAGCTCTAGCCGCACCCCCGGCCGACGCCCCCAGTGGCTCGGGCGGGAAGCGAAGGGCCCGGGGCCCGGCCTTTGGGTCCTGTCTCTGTCATGCCGTTCTTCGTACCTCTCCTGACCTCCTTCAGACCTTCGAGGCTGCAGCCTTGGTCATCGAACAGGGAGTTTGTCCCTGAGGTTAGGGGCGGGAGATAAACTCTGGACAGGTCAGCAGTTCAGTTTGCCCAGGACAAGAGAAAGGTGGCTTGGGTGCCCCTGTCCCGGCAGGCGTCACCTCGCCTACTAGCCCTCGGGCCGGCCCTGCGTCGCCCCCAGCTCCTCACGGGTTAACACCCCTCGCCGCCCGCTCGCTTCCCAGTGCCAAAGTGGGTGTTGCTGGAATTCCTCTCTCCCTCTCCCGTAATGAGGGGGCTGAGCTGTCCCTCCGAGGAGGGGGCACGGTGTGGATAAAAGAGACGAAAAATCAGGGGGAGGTTTCCAAAAATAAAACCCTCCGGTTCCCATTCAGAAGGCTGCAGTGACGGGGAGAAGGCGCGGCGGTGCGACAGCGGTGCCCACCCAGCTAGAGACAGAGCGCGACCGCCGGGCTCATTGCGCGCAGCCCCGGGCCGCTCCCGCAGCCTGGCCCTCGCTCCACGGAGAGGCTGGCCCGCAGTCTGATTCGGGGCCCCCTAGACGGGGAGATGCGGGCCACCGAGAGGGGACCGGAGCGCAGCCAGAGGGCGGCCGGGCGCACAGACTGCGAGCCCCGGGGCAGTTACCCGCGCGCGCCGCTTTCCGGGCGCCCCGGCGCCATGAGGCCCCCAACCACCACCCGCTGCCCCGGGCGCGTCCTTCGGAACCCCTGGAGGAGCTTCTTGCCTCTCACGCTGGCTCTCTTCGTGGGCATGGGTCATGCTCAGAGGGACCCGTTGGGCAGATACGAGCCGGCTGGAAGGGACGCGAGTCGGCTGCGGCGCCCCGGGGGCAGCCACCCCGCAGCGGCTACAGCCAAGGTGTACAGTCTGTTCCGGGAGCAGAACGTGCCCGTCCCGGCTTTGCCGCCCGCGGAGCGGACCCAACCTGGCTGGGGGAGCCCCAGCAGGCCCGCCGAGGCGGAGGCCAGGAGGCCTCCCCGCGCGCAGCAGCCGCGGCGAGTCCAGCCACCTGCGCAGACCTGGAGAAGCCGGCCCCTGCGCCAGCAGCAGTCCGCACCCCGGGCCCAGGCCCCCCCGGCTCTCCCGCGCCTCGGGACCGCGCAGCGGCCGCGGGCTGCGCGAGGGCGGCTAACGGGGTGAGCACTGGAGAGGGAAGCATGGGGGCTGGGGGAGCGAGGGCCGGTCTCCCGTACGCTCGTTCGTGGAGGTATGTGCTTGCCAGTAGAGGAGAGGGCGCCGGGCTCTGCCTTTCGTCCCTCTGTCCTCAGTACTGCGGAGGAACAGACCGAGGTCCCGGAGCTGGGGCTCCATCTGACCCACTCTCAAAGAGTTGAGAGGAAAGAGAAACACCATCCACACCCTTTCGTACCAGCTCGCCCAGACCCGACGTTAATCCTTTCCCGAGGCGCCAGGGCATTCGCCCGCTCTCCTACCTCCCGCCTCCAGCCGGTGCCTGCTGACGCCCGTAGCGGTGCGGGGATCTGAAAGGGATCGGGGAGAGGGCAGCGCGGTGGGCGTTCCACGCGCTTGAGGCCCAGGGGAAGCTGAGCGGGCTTAGAGCGCGGGTAGGTGGAGGACGTCGGGGGCTCCAGAGCGCGAGGGCAGATGCATCTCCAGGAAGGAGGCTGGCAGCAAAGCCTGCGCGGGGGAACGAGTCTGTGGGTTGCAGCAGAGGTCGGCCTGGGCCCGCGGATGGCTGGACGTGGAAGTGGGCGTGGGATCGGGGGCACTTTGGGCAGGAAGCCTGCTCGCGATGGGGCTGTGGCACTGTGGGTCCGTGGGGGAGTGGGTCTGTGTGTGCCCCTATGCAGCTAGGTGTCAGCGCGACTCGCGCACTTTGCAGGGCTCAGTCTCCCCCCTACCAGCTGCTTGCCGGGGGCTCCCTCGCAGCGTGGGAGGGGCTCCCCAGTAACCCCCGGCCCCGCTGAAGATCCTCATGGCTGCGGGAGGCTCAGTCTTGCCTGAGTATGACAGGTGTCTCCAGAATGGAGGGCACTGGAGGCCCGGGCAGTGTGGGGATGCGTGGGGACACCATCGGGGAGGCTGGGAAGGAACCTGGAAGCCCTTCTCGGCTTGGGCCCTATCTGCCAGTTGGGTTCAGTCCCCTGGCTCATAGCGTGAAGGACACTGCAACCCCTGTTCTACTCCCGAGGATGTTCTTACTGCCTCTCCACTCACTATTTTCCTAGGCTGCAGCACTCTTCTGTATTTCTCTGCTTAGAGAGACCTTCCTGACTACTCCTGCCCCACCCTCTCTCTTCCTTCACCCTGCTCTACGTTTCTTCATAGCACTTATTCCCATTGGACATATTATGTTTCTGTTTCTGCGTTTATGGTCTGGTCTCCCAGCCCACGCTAATGTAAGCTCTATGAAAAGAGAGGCTTTGTTTTGCGCATTGCTGTGTCACCAGTGCCTAGAACAGTGCTCGTATATTGTTGCTGCTTGTTAAGTATCTGTTGAGCGAGTGAATGAATTCCCCGCTGCCCTTGGAAGGCCCAGCTTAAGGCAGACAGAGTAGACCCGAGCACTGCCAAGTCGCTTACACAGAGGATCAGTCAGCGGGTGGTAATGGCCTGTGCAAGTGAATACATACTTCTTGAGAGCAAGTGTGCAGGGCCTGGGATAGGGGATGCAGCCCCGAGACTAAAGGCATTGTTCCTGCCGGGAGGGCAACTCAATTACTTCAAATGGAATTGGAGAAATGAACAGATGGGCCCTGGTGAACATGCTTTCTAGTACCAGAAGCTTCATGCTAAGCATAAAGGAATGGACGGTTGTGGCTGACGAGCCTGGAGGAGAAGGAGGCCCTGGGGTTCGATGGGCAGCATGCGGGGAAGCGGAGGGGAAGTGGCAGGAGTGGGGTCCTGAGTTGTGGCACTGCCCAAAGACAAGGGCTTTTCACTGTTGGCACTGGCCTAGGGGCAGGACTGCACCCTGGTGCAGGGGAGCCACAGGGCTGAGGCTGGAGGCATAGGTTGAGCCAGATCATGGAGGAGCTTATACTGTCAGCATTCCGGTGGGAGTTGGGGGGAGATGGGATAGTGGAGTGGGGGTGGGAGGGTGCACTCTTCGCAGTTGTGAAATGAGGCGGTGATGAGCAAAGCAGATTGTCACCATGATAAGGCTGGTAGATGTACACGGGTGTGTAAGGACCTGGGCTGGGTGCCACCCACAATCACTTGCCATATACAGGTGCACACATCACATCACATGCTGGGGTGGCTCCTCCCCCAGATTATTTTCTGCAGCTTTGATAAAGGGTGGGTTCCTCTGGCACTGCAGCTAGCCACTCCAAGTCATCTGGGGAGGGGCTGAGTGGCAATCTTGTCCATTGGCTTCCTCTCCCCAAGTCCATTCTAGCTCATGGCTTCTGGCCAGGCTGGCCTCTCTGGCAGTTGCCGTGTGAATTGCTCAGGGCCAAGGACTAAGTGCCACCTGCTGGTAAAGCTTGGAATTGCATCACCACTACTGGGGATTCTTCATTCAACAAACGTTTGGAAGGTCTCCTATATGCCCGGCACTTTGCTGGACCATGGGGATACAGCAGTGGCCAAGACAGCCTCTGTCTCCGTGGAACTTGCAATGTAGTGGGGTTTTATTGCACATAATGAAGATTTTAAGTGTGCGCCAGGCACAGTGCTAGGTGTCTGGGACACAGTGTAACCAGAGCAGAAAATTCTTGCACTATTGAAATTCACAGTCCACAGGGGACTTTTTAAGCCATTGTTCCCCAGCATTCAGTGTTTCTTAAGCTTAGCCTCACAGCATACCACCTTAATAATATTTTCCTCTATCTTTTCCTCCTTGTTCTATTATTTTCTTAAATTTCTAAACTGTTAAAATAACAGGATTTTTTGTTTTATTTATTTTTAAGTATTTTATATTATGAAGTTTTATACAAACCTACAAAAAGTATTGGAAATAATACAACTAACAATCCAGCTTTTTCAAACCTTAATATTTGGGCCTATTTTGCTTCTGATTTTTTTAGTCGAAATATCGTCTATAAATTTGTCTCCCTCTCTCCCCAGAGTTAACCACTACCTTGAATTTACCCGTGATTCCAATCTATGTTTTTATAGATGCATGCATCCATAACATACACAATATTGTTTTGCATATTTTAAACTTAGATAAGTGGTGCTATGCTGCATTATCCCGCTAAAATTTGCTTTTCCAATCCTCATTAGATGTTTGAAATTTAACTACATTAATATAATCAGCCCAAGTTTATTCATTTTAATTGTTGGTCATTATGTCATTGAATATACCACAGTTTATTTATCCATCCTTCTGTTTTGGGACACTTAGATTAGTTACATATTTTGGTATTACAAACAGTGCTTGGCATTTTTCTACATAAATAAATCCATTTTCAAGGACACTTTGTATCACTATCATAAGCTGAAAATAGTACCACTTGTCATAAAGAGAAAACTATAGGAAAACCGAAATGAAAACAAAATGTTCTCAAAGTCTAGTCAAATACCATTATCATAGGAAGTTCAGCCCTGTAGTTCTTCCTATTGGAAATGGCAATTGGCAAGGGCTGGAGAGAGAACCTGGCATGAAGACCCAACCTCTGACAGAGATTTTATCCCACTGGTCTAATCAGACTAGAACGATCACTAAAAAGGGAATCACTTTCTCGCTGTGTGATTCAGCACTGCTGCATGTTGTGATTACGGAAACGTCACACTCCCTTTCCTACCAGAAGTGTGTTGGGAAACATTGGATTAAATGAAACAAAGAGGTATTAAAAGTACACCACATGTCAGGCACTATGTTAGACTCTAGGGGCACAAAGAGGAATAAGAAAGAACCCTCAAGGTACTCAAGACAGAGACATACACCAACAGCCTGAGGTAATCAGTGCTAAATGGTGTGGCGGCTGGAGAATGGGGAAGGCTGGGTTGATGTCAGGGGAGGTTTTACACAAAGGAGGTGACATTTGATCTGGAAGTCTTGGAGCGTGCCACGGATCTCAGTCGGCAAAGAAGAGAGGGAAGGCAGTCTAGGCAGAGAGAGCACCTTAAGCAAAGTCATCAAAACGTGCCCACATACAGTGCAGCTGGGGGACAACAAACTTCGTATATTTGGAGGATCATAGTTTTGGTTGTAGGTGGCCATGGAGATAAGGGGGGAAGGGGGGCAATTAGACTCCACAGGCAGGAGGGGTCCGGTTGGCTTTGTAGAGGCCAGTGGAGAGCCTTGAGGCGTCTATAACAAAGGACCAGTATGACCAGATTTGTTCCAGGTGGAACAGCAGCTGTCCTAGGCTGTTAGCCAGATGGGTTGGGCAATGATGCTGGATACTGGGCTAATGTTTGCTGAGTGGTGTGGCTTGGAAGGCTGGGCTTACATAATCTCTGAGTCGTATCTTCCAGAGACTCAGAGCCACTGAGTCATTGGCCCCAGCTAGTCAGGCTCATTTGCTCTCTCCAGCTAGCCAGAGCCCACGGAATGGTCATCTCCCATCAGGTACCTCCCTGAGCCTGTACCCAAGACTCTGGCTGGGCTCCTGTATCCCTCTCGAGGGCCTGCTTCGCCAAGCCCTGCCCCCCTTCTTGACAGCTTTGATTCTGACCAGTTCTCACTGTGGCCCTGACGGCCTTGAGGGCTCTACCGTGGTCAGGCAGGGCATGCCAAGCTGCTGCCTTCCTACAGTCAGCTCCATAGCCATTCTGAAGGCATCTAGGGTACCAGCAGGCTCAGGGGGGCCTCCTTTAGCTGGGCTCCACACCATGACCTCTCAGCCAGGTGGGCCCCTCAGTCCGTGCTCTCTGGACTCCCACAGACCCTAGTTTTTAGAAAACTCCCAGGGCGTGCTGTCTGCTTCCTTCTCAAAGATCTCTCAGGCCTCTAACAGGACTTGCCACCACCAGAGGGGGTAATGATGACTCACCAATGGGTGGGTAGTCCCCCCTCCCGCCAAGGCACACACTCAGAAGCCCTGGCTGTGAGGACCAGCCCCTTCCCCAGAACCCAGTGACTTGGGCCCTGATGGGGAAGAGGCCTTCGGGAACCAGGAAGCCGAGGAAGGCAGCGGTCCAGAGGGGCTTCGAGGTGGCTGAAATGGCACAGCCCTTGGGTGGGAGGACATTCTGGGGCCTCCCTGGGAGGCAGCTCCCCACAGCTTTGGGCCAAAGGGCCAGGAATGGGCCTTAGCTTTTTCAAGTGGCAGGAATTTATTTTGAATGTTTCGTAAGGTTTCAAAAACCACACAAGCTTTGGGGGCCACACAAATGTCAAACAAACTCCTAAGTGGGACCACATGCTCACCATGCCGGCCACGAAGGTCACAGGAAGGGCCCCCTGGTCTGTCCTTCACCCCATTCTTGGGCTCTGTACCTCTGCTGCCCCGCTCACCCTGAGCTTCAGCGAGTGCTCAGTAGACAATTTCTGATGGTAATGATGGGGTCTGTGAAGCAGAGCCAGGCCCAGCCTGAGCTGAGAAGTCAGGGCCCCAGAGGTCTTCTCCAGATAGAGCCCTTCTCGGGAAGTCACCTCTGTCCGGGCATTTGGGTCTCTAGATTGACAGGGTGGGTGAAGGATACTGGTGCTGCAGGGGCCTCACTCAACACCTGAGGGCAGAGTTTGGGTGAGTTAGGTGAGTGGCCCTGGTGGCAACTGCTGGTCAGTGTCTCCTGCAGGTGTCTCGGTGCCAGCACCAAGGAGTAGCTGGGGCAAGGGCTATCTCCCACCAAGTAAGTTCCATCAGCCTGCCCAAATAAAAAGTGTGCTCACCATGCAGAGCAGCTTACCCCGAGTCCCCAGCCCCATCTTCCTACCAGCTTACCACTTCCTCAGCTCCTCTTAAAGAGAAATTCTGGAGCTCCGGCTCCTTCTGTCCCAGCCAGTGCTCCGTCTGACTGTGCACCAGCCTGCCAGAGGGCTAAGACTCCTCCCAGTGTGCATGTGTTGGCAGGTGATGCATATATATGTCCTTAAGGCTGTTTTGGGTATGTTTTCCAGCTTCCCTTGGATTATCAGCATTTGTTGGCAAGGACCATGGTGATAATTTTTTGGTGAGAGGCCATGTGGAGTTGGAGCATGACTTAGAGTTGGGTCAACTGGGGTTTGAATCTGGCTCTGGCATTTACTTATTGTTTAGTCTTGGAAAGTGACTGAGCCACTCTGAACTTGCTTTTTGATCATCTTCGTGATCCCTGTGCCAGTGTGTCAGGGGCTATATATCCTATCTCATTTAATCCTCACAACAACATTAAGCAGGTATTATTATCTCCATTGTACAGATGAAAAGAATGAGGCTTCCCAAGCTCATGCAGAGAATGGCAGAGTCAGGATTCAATCTTAGATGTGAAGGATCCCAAAGCGCCCGCCCATGGGCCATGCGGCCTCCCTAGAAAAGGGGGACAGTGCCCGCCCTGACAGAGATCCCCCAGGCCCTGCCTGTAGAGGGTGGGACCATCAGTAGGGCTCTGTGAATAGTCCCGCTCTGAGCACCCTAAGCTGACCCTGTTATGGTGACCCCGCAGGAGGAATGTCTGCGGGGGACAGTGCTGCCCAGGATGGACAACAGCAAATAGTACCAACCACTGTATCAAACGTGAGTGCCTCCACCGCATCCACCCTCTCCCTCTCTCTTCCTTGAGCTGGGCGGGGCATGGGGACTCCAGAATCTGTGCGGGGAGCACAAGTCTCTTCCCCAATCTGCCTCCTGAGCAGGTACCCCTCTCCAGGGGGGAGGCAGTGGAAGAGAGGAGATTGAAAAATGCCTCCAGGGCATTCCCTGGTGGTCTGGTGGTTAGGACTGACGCTTTCATTGCCAAGGACCTGGGTTCAATCCCTGGTTGGGGAACTAAGATCCCACAAGCTGCATGCATGGCGAAAGAAAAAAAAGGCTCCAACTGAGGATGACTTTTCAAATAAAATCCCTGCTCTTGTTTGTAAAGCTTCCTGTATTCCCCACCTGCTGCTCCACTGTATTGGGGCTCCTCCCCAACTTCCCCTGTGGTGCTCACATACCCCTGTGGTCTGCGGAACACACCTGGCCCCAGAGCCTCTGCATCGCACATTCCTGGGGGGACCACTCCCAGCGCCGTGCTAGGGGAGTCCACCTCTGCTCTGGCCCGTGGCCCCTGGCAGGCATCCTACCAGGACGGTCAGATAAGGCTTTGATCCTGTGTCTGGAGTAGTCTTCCTTTCAACCACTCCAAAGCCTGGCAGTCTGGCCCAGATGAGAAAAAAGAGGGTAGTCATCTTAGTTATGTGGAGACCAAGGAGTGAGGTAGGAAGAGCCAGGCTCTGTGCCCTAGCCTCCACGGATGGCGCCCTCGGAGGAGGTGACAGCAACACGAGAGCCAGTAGCTATGCAGCACTCGCTCTGTGCAAGACTCACTTCACACGTCCTGTGGGGCGGGGAGAGCCACTCGCCTTTTGGCAGGTGAGGAAACTGGGGCACAGACAAGTCACGTGATCAAGGTCACATGGCCTAGAAATGGCAGGATATGAACTCAGGTAACCTGACTCTAGGGTCCCTCTTCTTGTTTTTTTTGCGGTACGCGGGCCTCTCACTGTTGTGGCCTCTCCCGTTGCGGAGCACAGGCTCCGGACGCGCAGGCGCGGCGGCCACGGCTCATGGGCCCAGCCTCTCCGCGGCATGTGGGATCCTCCCGGACCGGGGCACGAACCCGCGTCCCCTGCATCGGCAGGCGGACCCCCAACCACTGCGCCACCAGGGAAGCGCAAGGGTCCCTATTCTTGATCTCCACACTCTGCTGCCAGATATCTTACCTCATTTTCCTGGACCTCACTTTCTGCATCTGTGAACTGGGGATGGCCGTGTACTACTGTTTCCTTTTTCACTCCTCCTCTTCCTCCTGTTACTACTACCACCATCACCTCTACCATCACCACTACGACTACGACCTCTACTACCATCACTACCGCTACAGCTGCTGCTGCTCCACTGCTACCACCATTACTACTGTAATGACGACTACTACTAGCTAACAGCTGAGGATTGACTGTGTGCCCAACACTGTGCTAAGCTCTTCACATGCATCATCTTAGTTGTCTCCCAATCCTATAACATGAGTATTTACTGATCATCTATCCTACTTATAGTCGAGGAAACTGAGGCTCAGTTTGGTTAGGAAATGTGCCCGAGGAGACAGTAGTACTCCGAGTCCTGGAGCTGAGGCCTGGGGTGGGATTTGGGGCTGGAGATGAAGAGGAGAGCCCATAAGTTCCATTGAGCTTAGCAGAGAGTGTTGCTGAGGTTTGAGCTGAAGTTGGGGGAGGGTGGCTTCAGGGCAGGTGGGCTTCTCCACAGCTGCCCGAGGGGTCTGGGCATGGGCCTCGCTCTGGCCCTTCAGCCCTGAAGGTTCTCAGTTTCCTAACTTTCTCATGACTTTCCAGCATCATTCTCTGCCAATCTGGAGTTTCAACACTGGAAACTCGAGGTTGGGTGAGTCTGCAGATTGTCAGAATTGACGTGTGTGTGCACCCTCGTGCCCTGATCTGGGGGTGCTGCTCCAGCCTGCTGTCAGTATCCACTCCACCCCGGGGGGCCTCAGCCCCATTGTTTCTCTCCCCGGCCCTCCGCTGCTCCCCTGGTCATACCTGTGACCCTGGCACACAGGCTGTCAGCGCTCCTGGAGGAATTGCCACTGGGCGTTAGCCTTTCCCACCCGAAATTGGCTTGCCCACTGAAGGTCTGTGTGCTAATTAGCTGGGCCCAGCGCTGTTTGCTTGTTGCTATTTTGCTGCTAATGAGCCTGATGAGAACCACGTGGGCAGTGGGGTGTTGGCCCTGGATGGCTAGGTCCGGAGCTCTGTCAAATATGGGGCTCTTGGTTCCACACCCTGTCAGCTGGCTCTCCTGCTTCCCCTGTGGTTTGCGTCTCCCTATCCCCTCCCCACAGCTGCCCTTCTGGCTGGAGCAGAGGCTGCCAACGCCGGGGAATGCTCATGACTCTGGCCTAGTGGTTTCCCACATGTGGGGTGCCTCTCCTGGCCTGGCCGCGGGGGGTGGGTGGTGACAGGGAGGGGTGTGTGACATCCCCCCAACTGCCAAGAATAAAGTCTAGCCCGAGAACAGTGTGGGGACTCAATCCATCCCCTGGCCTCTCCCAGATATCTGTAGGTCCAACCCACTGCCCCTGCATAGCGAGTGATGGCCTTTGTCCCCTGGACCACGCCCGACTCCCACGTGCCCCCTCTCACAGACTCCTAGGTTGCTGTAACATACCAGCCATCTCCTTGGCAGGCCCCTTTCTTCATCCCTGTCCAGTCACTGGACCTTGGGGACCCACTGTGTCTGCAGGTGTCCACTGCTAGAAGCCCAGCTGCTCTCTGCACCCTGGAGGGGTCTGGAGCTGTGCCCCCATCTCCTCCTCTGGTCTTGGTATCTGCCTTTCCTTCTGTGGCTTTGCCAGCTCTGCCACACAATTTGTGTGTTTATGTGTTTGTGGAGGCAGCTGACTGGGGCCTGCCAGCCCGCTCAGCTGAGGGGAAGCAATGTAGGGTGTGGGGTGCCGGGCTCCTGTTTACAGTTAGGCTTTTGGAAGACTGTCCAGTCTTCCCAGATTGGCTCGCCCCAATGCACACACAGCCTTTGGGAGGCTTCTGAAGGCTTACACTGGGGAAGAGGATTTGAAGAATTCTTTGGCTTCTCATTTTATCTCAGCTTAGATGCAGGGGGGCTGGGGCTGTTCTGGGGAGAAGGCTATTGAGGAGGGGGCTAGGTGGATTACCATCTTCCCCTCCCCCCCAGCAGTAAGGCTCCAAGTTCAGAGCATGTGCCTTAGATTCTGGTGCCAGATTCAAAGAGTCATGGATTTGAACCCCAGCTCTGTGTCCTCAGGCAAGTGCCTGGCCCTCTTCCAGCCACAGTGCCTCACCTGTTGAGTATAACAATCTTTACAGAGCTGTTTTTGAGAATTAATAATAATAACACACGGTAGCTCTTACAGTGTGTTCTGTGTGTCAGAACTTTATTATTAATTTCTCATCCTCAGAGCAACCCTGTAAACTAGATTTGATCTTTATCCCCATTTACAGATGAGGTTAACTATTTGTCCAAGTCATGCAGCTGGCAATCAGTAGAGCCTGGGTGTGAATCCAGGTAGCCTGCTCCAGAGGATAGGGCTTAACACCGTGCTCCTGGGAAACGAGCATGTGTGTGTAGAGAGCCTGGAACATGGTAAGTTTAGTTGTTATTTTAACCTAGATCCAGGAGGCTGTGCTGCCTGACTGGGTTTAAATGCCGACTCCATCACTTAGCTACAGGACCCTGGGCAAGATGCTTAAGCTTTCTGTGCCTCAGTTTATTTTCCTGTGAAATATGACTAATATTAGTCCCTGCCTCAGAGAATTCTAAGGAACAAATGAGATAACTTAGGGCAAGTGTTTAGTTCAAGGCCTGGCACGTCTGTGTGTTCTGTACATGTCTGGCCTTGATGTTGCAAGCAGGGACTGTGTCTAACAGCCCACAACATGCAGCACAGTGGCAAGTGTTCACTGGATACAAGGTAAAGGCTCAACAAGAATGTACTGAATAACACAGGGCCTTTCCCAGGCCTGTGCAGAGAAGTCCCCTTCTGCTGCCCCGGATTCATCAGCCCTTTTGGAAAACTCCCCACGTTGCTCAGGAGACCCTGGAATGGCCTAGGCATTTGTGCTTGCCTTTTAGTCCCAAGCCTGTGTGCGCATGGGACCATTAGAACCACATGCCTCTGGGCCACATCTCAGTGATGTGAAGACCCTCATCCCTCCTGATCTGGGCTTCTCCTGGGCTTCCCTGAGGGAGTTCCCCTGGCCCACCCATCCCAGCCCTGTAAATGACCCCATACCAAAGGGCAAGGCTATAGCCACCCAACTTTGGAGCCAGAATCCCTGAGTTCAAACCCTTGCTCCATCACTTACTAGCATGGTGATCTCAGGCACATTGCTGGACTGCTCTAAGCCTCAGTTTCTCCGCATGTCAAATGAGGATCAGAATAGTACCTGTAGTAGTTCTAAGAATCTACAGAGGAGATGTATGCAAAGAAATCGACCTCATAATGGTAAGTGCTGAACAAATGTTGGGGAAAAGGGTCAGGTCAGGGGTGGGATTTGCAGGGTCTTTACTGACTGGTTAGGAACTGCCAGGAGCCAGAGGCTTGAGTCTACATATGGCTCATCTCTGGATGAACCATCCGATGAAACTCAGTAGTTGGTGGGAGTGGTGGAGAGGAAAGTGGAAGGTGTTAAGGGGAATAATCACATGACTTCAGTGGAGACCCAACTAACAGGAAGGGTACAGACCTAGCAAGAGACACTGCCCATCTCTCTCCTGACCATGTAGAGGTTAGATCTTCCTGGTAAGCAGGTGTACGCCCCCAAGGCTTTTTGCTTAAAGGAGTATTTAGGAGATGCTTTTATCCAGGGGGTCCTGAAGCCAGGGGCTGTATCCTGTTGATACCAGCAGAGTGCCTATTTGATACATGTTTGTTAAAAGACTGAGTGGGTGAATGATTTCACAGGTGACCTGGAGGTTTTCTTCTGCCATCCTCAGCTGCCTCTTCTCACCTCCTTGGCTGGCTTCTCCTTTTCTACCTAACA